GGACCCACTGAGGTCATTTCTATTGTTCAGTTATTTGCTTAAATTGCAACTACATACTCAGTCATATCCATTCATTTGCATATCATATCCCATTCTCTGTTATCACTTGTTGTCACAACATGTTATCATTGTTGGGCTAATTGGCATGAGATTTGTGAGGCCGAGAGACCGGAGAGGATGATGACTGAGTGAGGTCGAGGGCCTGAGTGTGATTTATATTTATGGGACCGGGTTGCACGTCTTAACAGGCTTTATTGATTCATGCTATAATTGGCTCATATTAGCGCTTGGACAGGATCCTCCCCTCCGGAGTCTGACATACCAGCAGTGAGCATAGGTACCTACTGAGCAAGAGTGCCAAGCGCCAGTGCCGAGTGATTGGGAGGACTGAGTGACTTGGAGGATTGAGTAACTGGGAGGATTGAATGATTTGGAGGACTGAGTGATTGAGCGTGCTGAGTGAGGTTGACTACTCCGAGAGCATGAGCACATGAGTTTATCACTGTGGTGCATTGCACTTGACATTCATACTTGGCATGTAGTTATAAATATGCATTACTTCATGGTGTACGGTATTGTGACATTCATGACTTTATATGTACATTGACATGTAGGCATAGAGATGTACTTTCCTCATGCCATCTGATAATGAAACATCTTATCTATTGCTGAAAGTTTTTGGAAAAAATCACAGTTTTTCTGATATACTCATATTTTTGGTGATTTCGGTGAAAGATTTGGATTTTTACTGTTATATCTGAGAAGCATGCCTATTTTGTGCAATTGTGAATGACCTGAGTATCATATTTTTGAGTATCATTTGTATGGTTTTTTCATTATACTATTACGAGTTATTCTTGGTTGTTGGTGTTGGACTCTGATTGTTGTTCAATCTCATCTCTAATGACAACCTAAGGTTAGATTTGTTACTTATTGAGTACATGGGGTCGGTTGTACTCATACTACACTCTGCACCTTGCGTGCAGATTTTGGAGTTTATATTGCTGTATATGATGGGAGTTGGCTTTGAAGATGAACCTGCGTTCCGGTTATAGCTGCCTCTTATTCATGGTAGCTTTAGATTTATAAAAAATTTATTTATGTATATTTCAAACAGATGATGTATTTATTTTCATACTAGCGTTGTAAACTTTAAAGCTTAGAAGCTCATGATTTGTTCTACCAATCCTTGGAATTTTTGTACAAAGTTCAGATATTTCATCATTTATTCTCTCGGTAAATCTCATTTGAATTGCATTATTGATAATTAGCTTACCTAGCGAGTTGGGTTAGGTGTCATCACGACTAGTTAGCTTTTGGGTCGTGACACTCACCCCCTTCAAATTTCTATCATTCCCGGAGAAGTGGAACGCCTCCTGTAAGTCTTTTCCTTCTCGAGTATTCAGCATTCCCTTTTATTCTTTTTCTAATTGCCTATTTTCATAATTATGCAACGGTTTCCCAAGTTCCTAATGCAGTCCCCCACTTCAAGGAGTGGATCGAGGGGATCTTCAAACAAATTCCATACTCTGAGCACGCATAAGGGCAAGTGGGAGGCCCGTTCTCATGGTAAGGCTCCCTCTTGAATGATTATCTTCGTACTCTTGGCTTACACATCGCTAAGTCTTCTTTATTCATCCTCACTTGCCAAACCCTCTGTTTTAGGACAACTCGGTGCTGCCACTGAGGAGAAAAGAAGAAGAAGAGGAAGTCCTCGGGCTCCCCGTACGCCAAGGTGAAGAAGAAGAATGTGAACATCCGGGTCTAGAAAATCAAAACGAGCGCCAAGTCCAGGGTACCAAACTCTGATTCCCTCTACATGCTCAACGACTATTCTGAGGACGACGACCTTGAGTTCACTGCTTATGGGTCAACCCTTAACAAGGGGGAACATGGGGCAGTGGGGAAAGATGGCCTTGAGGTTGATCCCCCTTTAGCTCGGGAACCAGTGAGAGAGATAGGGGCTGTGGGCTCTCGAGAAGTCGTTCCTATCCTGAAGGAGGTAGCATGTGTCATTGACATCATGGAGACGCTGTCCTATATTGAGTCCATGCTTGAAGAGGCTCAAGTGGGTAAGGAGGGCTTTTCCTATATAATTCCCTCAACACGTTCTTCGACGACATGGACATGGCCGCATTGGAGGAATTTTCCGAGCTTGGTCAACTGGAGGTCCCAAAAAAGGATGTGCCATAGGGGCGGGCAAGCCGAGCTCGAGGATGAAACTAATGAAGCAGTTCCCTGCCTCGAGTGTGGACCCAGACCGCAAGAGAACGGTCATTCTTGCTATCCTAGTGGACGTCCGGGTCCTGTCCGCTTCGATAGGCATATCCATCTTCATTTCTTGGTGACCGAGGATGACCAAGAAAATATGAATGAAGTAGGCACGTAAAGCCTCTTCAATGAGGCACTACACGCACTGAATCGAGTAAGGCGTCTACCCTTCGTACCCTTTGCGAACCTTGCTTAGTTTTAGGTGTGTTCTAATGACTTCATTGTTTTTCAGGCTTCAGTGCTTAATCATGAAATCTTCTTTTGGTCCCGCTTGGAGATTAGTCAACTCGAGTTCGATCTTAAAGAGCAAGTCTAGAAGAAGGACATGTACAAGGCTCTTAGTGAACAATGAGATGGGGCCCTCAAGGACCTCCGATTCTCCGAGCCGAACTAGAAAAGGCCCTGTAATGACCCGACCGATCTTTTTGAGAGTTGTAGCCTAGTTCCCCCATTTACTGCACCTTTTTTATTTTATAGTTGTTATATGACTTATCGGGTTAGTTGGTTCGGGTCCAGAGAGAGTTTAGATTGATTTGAGACACTTAGTCTCTTATTTGAAAGCTTAAGTTGGAGAAAAATTTGACTGGATGTTGAATTATGTGTAAATGACCTTGAATTTGAATTTTGATGGTTCTGTTAGTTCCGTTAGGTGAATTTGGACTTAGGAGTACATCCGAATTGTGATTTGGAGGTCTGTTGTAGAATTAGGCTTGAATTGGCGAAAGTTGGAATTTTGGAAAGTTTGACCAGGAGTGGACTTTTTTATATCGGGGTTAGATTGGATTTACGGAAATTGGAGTAGGTTCATGGTGTCATTTATGACTTGTGTGCAAAATTTGGTGTCAATCGGACGTGATTTGATAGGTTCGGCGTCGTTTGTAGAATTTTGGAAATTTCAAAGTTCATTAGGCTTGAATCTGTGCGTAATCCGTGTTTTTGATATAGTTTGAGGTGATTTGAGGATTCAACTAAGTTCGTTTGGGACATGAGACTATAGGTATGTTTGGTTGAGGTTCTGGGGTCCTCGGGTTATTTTCGGGTGGTTGAACGGACTTGGATTGAATTTAAAGAGCAGCTGGAGTTTTGTTGTTGCTGGTGTAACCGCACCTGCGGAGTGGGCACCGTAAGTGCAAGTTCGCAGAAGCGAGAAGGGGTCATAGAAATGAGTAAGGAAGAGGATGGCAGAAGTCGCAGGTGCAGGGTCCTTTCCGCACCTGCGTGACCGCAGATGCGGCAGAAAGGTTGCAGATGCACATTTGGCCTTGAAGGTTGACTCCGCAGAAGAGAAGATTTGTCTCACAGAAGCGAGTCCACTTGAGCGAAAAGTTGGACGCAGGTGCAGAGCTAAGCAGAGAAGCGGGCTCTGGGGCACACCTGCGAGTCCGTAGAAGCGACTAAGTAGTTGCAGGTGTGAAAGGTCTGGGTAGAAACTATAAATACGAGACTTTGAGATTTTTAACCATTTTTATCACTTTGAGCTCGGACTTTGGAGATTTTTGAGTGGATTTTCGAAGGGATTACTGAGGTAAGCTCCTTGTGTTAATCTTTCTTCAATAATGATGTTTCCCCACTGATTTTACACCTAGTTGGTGAGTTTTTGAAGTGAAATTTGGGGTTTTAGGGCTAAGGATTTGGAAAGTGAATTTTGAGGATTTGGATGACCAAATAGTGTCGGATTTTGATAAATTTGGTATGGTTAGACTCGTGAATGAATGGGCTTTCAGGTTTTGTGACTTTTGTCGGGTTTCGAGACATGGGCCCGAGGGCCGGGATTGAGCCGATTTCGAATTTTGGGCTATAATCTCTAATTTTTCTTGTGGAATTGATTCCTTTCACCCGTATTGATTGTATTGTAATGTTTATGGTTAGATTCGGGGCATTTGGAGGCCGAATTGCGAGGCAAGGACATTTTGGAGTAACATCTTGCTCGGATTAAGGTAAGTAACAGTTATAAATCTAGTTCTGAGGGTATGAAACTCCGAATTTTGTATCATGTGATTACTTTAGAGGTGACGCACATGCTAGGTGATGGGCATGTGGGCGTGCACCGAGGGGACTGTGACTTGGTCTGCCCCTTGAAACTGTAAAGTTGAATATCTTGCTGTTAGCTATATGATCTCTATGTGTTATAGAAATTTGATTGTAAATCATGTTAGAAACCATATTTAGGCTATGTGTTGGTACTATTAGGTCCCACAGAGTCCACGTTACATGTTAATTTCCTGTTAAATGCTATTTGTACTCAGTCGCAATTTTTACTCGCATATCATATCCCAGTCTCTGTTATTCTTATTGATACATCATGTTATTGTTGTTTGGGCCGATTTTCGTGTTTTCTGAGAGCCGGAGACACTAGAGAGATTGATGACTGAGTGAGGCCGAGGACCTGATTGTGAGGATATTTATAGGATCAGGCTGTGCGCCGCATCATATTACTCTCATTTATGCCACTACTACAAAAAAGACTTTTAACGGCCATTATTTAGCGACAATAAATATATAGCCGGCAATTTATTCGCTAGACTCAATATTTTATTGGCAAATGAATATTGGCCATGAAAACTACATTTTCATTGACAATTAACAAAAGTGGCCAGTAAAAGCTACTAGCAAGTTTTTAGAAAACTTTTTATTAGTCTATTTTTCCTCCAATTTATTTTGTTGTTCCCTCCTTTAATTTTATTTTTGCATCCTATAGGAAATGTATTTCTTTTTATTCATATATTGAATTTATCATTTAGAGCCTTCATAGAATGCATCTCTCTTGACGTCTACACTCTATCTCTCCACATTGCTATGTTGCCTCTCTCCATAGAAACCCATAACGATAGGGCTTTAAATCCTTAGAGAAAAATGGTAGATCTCCTTTGATCTTCGGAAGTCCAAAATCGAGTAAAATTGATTAGTAATTATCTTCACCGCTTCCCAAAGATGTGAATTACTTCAATCTACTTGTTTCAGGTCAGTTGTTGATTTTTCATTTTTAAAATTCTCAAGTTTTTATACCGCGTTTGAGTTGAATTAAAAAATTTCAAGAAGTCGGATTGCCTTCTTGATGTTTGATTAAAATTTCTAGGTTGAAGTTTGATAATCAATATGAGTAATTAATTTAATGCAATTTTTAGTAAGCTAAATTTTTTAATACGTGCTGAAGGTCCCCCAATATTTCGAGAATTGGACGGAGTCAAAAAGTGAGGGTTTGGAATCCAAAAACTAACCTTTTTTGTGGTGTCTCTTTTTTCAGGTTTGACGTCAAACATACTAAGATTTATTGTATAGTAACGTCCCTCTTTCCTACTAGTTACTGCTAAACTATCTAGTAGATTTACTTTATGTTGGACAATATATCTTATTTGTTATATCTTGGCTTTGAAATCATATAGAGCTGACAAAGGATATTGATGAAATCAATAACATTGGTCAATAGAATGTTTTACAATAGAGGAAGCTAATTTTGAAGTTTCATTTTATTATCATCCTCACTTATTTCCCTAGAATTAGGGTAAGATTTATGTTCTAATTCAAATGATTCTTTAAGAGCATATCTCATGTGACTCACTTCATCCAAATACCAATTAATTAGGTCAGCTACAGAACAAGAGAACCACATCATTCTTTATTTGAATTTAATTAATAATTTATAACTGCAGATATGCGTAATAATCGATTTTGAATCTGGGCTATTGGAGTATGTTCACTTGCAAATTGCATAATTTTTCAAGGACGTAAGTCACTTTTATTAATTGACCATAATATTTTGTTATGTTCCTTATTTTTTTTAAATTTCTGGATCTTGTATAACATGGAATAGCTCCTTTGGTCAAGGCCAAAGGTAATACTACTCATAAGATGACAGAAGATAGTTTCAACATTGAATAATTACTATTGTTTAGTATTTGAAGGTAGTATGTTAATTATATCTCAAACTATAAATTCACTACTCCCTATACCGAGTCTCTTTGTGCATTAAAGAAATAAGGCTCTTTAGCCAAATTACCAGTAGTTACTTTTGAACTTATATTTACATAATTTGGCCAGTGGCTAAATATTGGTGGAAGATTAAACTACTAGATGACGTAAAATTTTATTTCAAGAGGAGGATTAATGCTGTAACAAGAATTTCTTGAGTTATATTTCAATTATGTTTTGTAGAAGCTTGCCCTTGCAATAATTAGCTACTGTAAAGATGTTATCGGAGTGTGTTTGTCTAATCATATTATGAAATAGGCTAGCGGGATAATATTTGATTTGGATCAAATAGGTGATGATTTCTTGTTCTTACTAGATAACAAGCTACATGCTTCTTAAACATGTCCATTTGATCCTTCAGTCACTTGCTCATATCAGGATGAAACATTAAAGCTAGTTTCATGAACTTTTTTCTTATGATTAGTCTCATAGGTATTCTTTTAGCCTTTTTAAAGATGATTTTTTTAATTAAAGTATTAATATAAAATGTAGGATAGAATTGGTGTATTATCTTTGTATATGGTTATACTGATAAGTAACAACTACCATATATATTTAAGGCCGGAACATCGTGGCCTTTCTTTTACATTTCAATTAGTAATAAAAGCCCCCCAACAAATTCCCAAGACTTGATTCTAGAAATCCTTCATTGGGTAATTTGTGGCAATAGAGTGCTTTCTGATTTGTGCCATCTTTTTCCTGTTTCATTTCTAGAAGTTTTTTGTGAAGTTGAATTGTAATGCTTTATGTTCTCATCCTTGGTATATTTGGTGCTATGTAATTGGATGGTATGCAATTATTCTAGTGTGATATGTGACTCTTATTCAATTTAAAGTCAAATTTTCTTGTCTCTAGAATGCATATATGATATACTGTAAAGTCTTATGAATCTTAAAATTATTTCTACAAGTGGGGATGATTGTCGGATTCATTTATGTTTACCAATTTTGGGCTAATAGTGAAAAATATAAATCTATGCAGTTACTATTCCATATATGGCCATGTCGAGAATCTAGCACAAGAGATACAAAGAAGCTGCATCAGTTGAATGAAGCCAAACTATGGCAGATATGTTTTTCTTTTTTAATGATGTTATATATGCTATGACTTAAAGATTTTTTCATTGTGTTATCGAAACCTGAGAATTAATGAATTTATATGGTTTTGTATTTGCAAATCTAATGTCTCCTTAACTGTCACATGAATTATTGACATTGTGAAATATTTAGAGATTTAGTCCTCCTCTTAACTTCCTGCTGAGAATGACTGGATTAATTCAACTACAGAATGAAAATAATCCAATGGTAATCCATCTAGTTGAAAAAGGCATTAATTATCATATGAAGATTAGAAATAAAGTTGATTTTGAGCTTATACCAGCCTTTGAGATCTTCCAGTAGAAATTTACTTTTGAACAAAAGACTACTGCAAAAATATAGCCTATGTTTCATACAATAGACGTTTTGTATATTAGTTTTGATTGAATTTTTTAGTAGCAATTCCTTGATATGCTAGCATGAGTTTGTGAATGTTACATAGTTGTTCGATTAATTATTGATAAACTTCATATGTGGTTGTTTATATGATTTTGTTTTTTTATCATTTCAGGACATATATTATGATGTTCAAAAATTTGGCAAGTGGCAAGACTTCATTGTGATTAAGAGATGTAGAATCTTTTAGTTGTCTCATATTGTCTTTTTATAGCTATTTGATAGCACAACTTATTAGATTTAAAAAGATACTAGTTAGATTCAAATAGTTTAGCATTTTTGTTAAGTTGACACTTTGAATTTATGAATTAGTATTTGTTTTTGTTTGTTGTGGATTTTATGAGGAGTTTTTTTTCAAATGATTACAATTGTTATTCTAATATAAAATAGGCAGGCATAGCATGGTATGAAAATGTTGGAAATAACTTTTCTTAATTTTACCAACAATAAAAAAAGTAGTTAAAAAGTCACTTAAACAAAATTTTAAAGGCTACATGAGATACCAGGATAAAGGTGAATTCATATAAAGTTTGATAGCCATTATATTTGCCACAAAAAATATTTCTTTTATTAGCAATTAAAAATAAATTAGCAGCAATAACAAAAGCTACAAAATATATAATCTAAGAAAATGCAGAGCGATTTTAGTAGCCATTTAAATTGCCAGTAATAATCGCCACTAAAACTGATTGACTTTTGTCGGCCGTAAAAGGGGGTTTTATCAGCACTCATTTTAATGGCCGCTAAAACCTTTGCCGACGCCAGCTACAATGGCCAATATGTAATTGCTGGTAAAGGCTTTAGCGACCATTATTATTGCCGCTAAAACTCATTTTTATTGCCGCTAAAACTCTTTTTTTGTAGCGTGCCATGATTGGCCTGATATAGCGCTTGGGTTGTAAGAGCCCCTCCGGAGTCTGTACACCTCAGTGAGTATAGGTAGCTACTGAGTGCAAGTACCGAGTGCCAATTGCTGAGCGATCGTGAGGAATGGGTGATTGTGAGGTTGGAGTGAATGGGAGGACTGAGTGCTTATTGACCTTAGAGGCTGTATATGACTTCATTATTGATGCACATGGTTGCCCTACACCATTGTTTTGAAAATTTCTGAAAGATGTTTTGTCCGGTTTTTACTTGAACTTGACTTAAACAAATTGATTTGACTTGATTTTTATCGGATTTGGTAAGCATGTCTACTTTCCTTGCTGAGACTACTAAAAATGCATTATAACTATGTAGCTCGTCACTATCGTTCAGTTCCTTATTTATTATTTTTACTTTCTGAGTTGGTTGTACTCACGCTACACCCTGCACTTCACGTGCAAATCCATGAGTTTTTGGATGTGGGGAGTGTTGATAATTTCTCGTAGCTGATCATTGGAGATAGCGAGGTAGTTGTCTGGCGTTCACAAAACTTGTTTTCTTCTTCTTTATCTCTCCTTTTCGTGGTATTTGGTTTCAGACTATGACAGTCGTGTTATATTTTCAGACAGGTTATGTTTAGATACTCATGAATTAGTGACACCCCGATGTTGGGTCTAATTTTTCGCACTTGTATTTTAAACTTTAAACCTTATTTTCAAAACTTTGCTTTATTTACGAACTTTTGATTTACCTTTTTGCATAATATTGCAAGTGTTTTGAAAAGGTCGGCTTGCCTAGTACCATCGATAGGCGCCATCATGATAGGTTAAGATTTGGGTCGTGACAAGTTGGTATCAAAGCTTAGGTTACATAGGTCTCACAGGTAATGAGCAAGTTTAGTAAAGTCTTGAAGATAGGTACAGAGACGTATGTACTTATCTTCGAAAGGCTATAGAACCCTTAGGAAATTTCACATTATTGAATTCTTATTATGCGAATCTGTTGATTCTAGTAACTAAACTTTTATTATTCTATTCTCTCACAGATGGTGAGGACATGTACTACTGGGCAGGATGGATAACCACCAGTACCGCCAGTCAAGGCTGTGAAAGGCCGAGGTCGCCGTAGAGGCCGCGGTAGGGGCAGAGGTGCAGCTCGCACAGTAGTTAGGGCAACACCTGCAGATCCACCAGTTACCCCAATTCAGGATCAAGTCCCAATTGCGAATGCGCCAGTAGGGCCAGCTCAAGCACCATCCCCGCCCATTGTATTTCCAGGCCTTAGCTCAGATTTTGACTGTATCACTAGTCTTGCTCAGGCAGTCTCTATTCCGGCCACAACAACCACTTATCAGGCCGAGGGAGGTATTCAGACTCCCGCTGCCCGTACATCCGAGCAAGTGATACAGGGACTCCAGACAGGGGGTACTACTAGCCCAGTTGGTGGCAGATGCTCAGGCCCATGTGGTTCCTACTATGAATGATGATGAGCAGCGGCGACTAAAGAGGTTTGGTAGACTTTAGCCTCCATCCTTCAGTAGGGTAGAGTCGGAAGATGCCCAGGGTTTTTTGGATAGATGTAAGAGGATTCTCCGTGCAGCAGGTATTCTGGAGACCAGTGGGGTCTTGTTCACTATTTTTCAGTTTACTTGAGCTGCCTTCAATTGGTGGGAGGCATATGAGAGGCATAGGTTGGTTGGTGCAGCACCCCTTACTTGGTAGGAGTTCACCATTCTATTCTTGGAGAAGTCTGTGCCGTAGTCTCGTAGAGAGGAGCTGTGCAGACAGTTTAAGTAGTTACGTCAGGATGATATGTCTATGATGCAGTACGGGATGAGGTTTTCTAAGTTGGCCTGTCATGCAGTCTGGTTAGTTCCCGCTGATAAGGAGAGGATCGGGAGGTTTATTGATGGCCTCACATTTCAGTTGCGGGTGCTTATGACTAGAGAGAGAGTATCTAGTGCTACTTTCGATAAGGTTGTTGACATAGCCTGACAGATAGAGATGGTTTGCAACCAGGAGCGGGTTGAAAGGGAGGCCAAGAGGTCTCGTAGATCAGGTGGTTTTAGTGGGGTTCCTTCTAGAGGTCAGTTCTACCATGGCAGGGGCCGTCCTTCAGGCATGCTCAGACGGCTCGCCCAGTTCACCGTGGTGCATCATCTAGCCATGGTTCACATAGTTCTCATCAGGGTCACCCATCTCTCAGTGCCCTTACAACTCAGAGTTCGTCATGTTCTCCATCGGTTCAGGGCTCATCTATGCTAGGTCCTTTTACCAGTTATCCCGGTGCTCAGGGCTCCCTTCAGTCCCTGTCACTAGTATCAGGGAGTTGTTTTGAGTGTGGGGAGTTTGGGCATGTGTGGAGGTAGTGTCCTCATTGTCGTGGAGGTTCAACGCGGCATAGGAGTCAAGCTGAATCTTCTATACCAGTTGCTTCACCACCCGCCTAGCCAGCTCGGGGTGGAGCCTAGTCAGTTATGGGTCACCCTAGAGGGGGAGGCTGATCAGGTGGCGGTAAGACCTATTTCTATACACTCCCTGCCAGACCAGATGTTATTTCTTCAGACACAATGATCACATATACTGTCTCAATATGTCACCGAGATGCTTCTGTATTATTTGACCCTAGTTCCACCTATTCATATGTATCATCGTATTTTTCTCATTATTTGGGTATGCCACGTGAGTCTTTAGTTTCATCTGTTCATGTATCTACACCGGTGGGTGATATTATTATTGTGGACTTTGTGTATCGGTCGTGTGTAGTGACTATTAGGGTATTGGAGATTAGAGTTGATCTCTTGCTGCTTAGTATGGTTGAATTCGATGTGATATTGGTATGGATTGGTTATCTTCATGCCATGCTATTTTCGACTTTCACGCTAAGACTGTGACGTTGGCGATGCCGGCGTTTCCATGGATTGAGTGACGAGGTTCTTTAGACTACATTCCCAATAGAGTAATTTTATACTTGAAGGCCCAGCAGATGGTTAAGAAGGGTTTTCTTTCTTATTTGGCCTTTGTGAGGGATGTTAGTGCTGAGACCCCTACTATTGATTCTGTTTTGGTGGTGTGAGATTTTCCGGATGTATTTCCTGCAGACCTGTCGGGCATGCTGCCTCACAGAGATATTGACTTGGTGTCGTGCAATCAGCCCATTTCTATTCCTCTGTACCGTATAGCACCGACTGAGTTGAAGGAGAAGCTTTAGGAACTCCTTGAGAAGGGGTTTATTAGGCCTAGTGTGTCACCTTGGGGTGCACCGATTCTGTTCGTGAAGAAAAATGATGTCTCTATGAGAATGTGCATTGATTATAGGTAGTTGAACAAAGTCACAATCAGGGAGAAAGGGTGTTCTCCATGATTGATTTGAGGTCAGGGTATCACCAGTTGAAGATCGGGACTCGAACATTCTTAAGAAAGATTTCAGGACCTAATATGGTTATTATGAGTTCCTTGTGATGTCTTTTGGCTGACCAACACCCTAGAAGTGTTCATGCATCTGATGAACATCGTATTGCAGCCTTATCTTGACTCGTTTGTTATTGTATTCATTGATGATATCCTAGTGTACTCTCGAAGCCAGGAAGAGCATGCCCAACATTTGAGGATTGTGTTGTAGTGGTTGAGGGAGGAGAATTTTTATGCCAAATTCTCCAAGTGAGAGTTCTGGCTCAGTTCAGTGGCATTTTTGGGGCACGTGGTGTCTAGCGAGGGTATTCAGCTAGATCTGAAGAAGATAAAGGCGGTTCAGAGTTGGCCTAGACTGTCCTCATCTACAGAGATTCAGAGCTTTCTTGGTTTGGCTGGTTATTATCGTCACTTCGTGTAGAGTTTCTCGTCTATTGCATCACCTTTGACCAAATTGATCTAAAATGGTGCTCCTTTAAGGTGGTCGGATGAGTGTGAGGCGAGCTTTCAGAAGCTCAAGACTACCTTGACTACAACTCCAGTTCTAGTTTTACCATCAACTTCTGGTTCTTATACAGTATATTGTGATGTTTTTCGAATCGGTATTAGGTGTGTTTTGATGTAAGAGGGTAGAGTGATTGCTTATGCTTCACGCCAGTTGAAGCCCCATGAGAAGAACTACTCTATTCATGATTTGGAGTTGGCTGTTATTGTTCATGCATTGAAGATTTGGAGGCATTATCTCTATGGTGTGTCTTATGAGGTATTTACTGATCATTGTAGCCTTCCGCACTTGTTCAAACAGAATGATCTCAATTTGAGGCAGCGAATATGGTTGGATCTGCTAAAGGACTATGATATTACTATTCTGTATCACCTGGGAAAGGCCAATGTGGTGGCGATGCCTTGAGTGGGAAGGCAGTGAGTATGGGTAGTCTTGCATTCACTCTTGTTGGTGAGAGACCTCTTGCAGTTTATGTTTAGGCCTTGTCCAACCAGTTCATGAGATTGGATATTTCAGATCCCAGTCGGGTTCTAGCTTGTGTGGTATCTCAGT